ATATATATATATATATATATATATATATATATATATATATATATATATTCTGTGTTGAAAGTTTAAATATTCGTATTTAAAGACCAAAACAATAAGAATGTCTTAGATCAAGTACGTGTTCAGAAATTAGTACTTTTACCTTAATATTCGTGTGGAATACAAACAACAAAACTCGACTGTAACGAAACTTTATGGTCACGTTATAATTATAATAATGCTGCAATCTTTGTCTTGCAAGTTGATGCAAAAGCAATATCATTATGTTTCTGCGTGCGAAGTATGTGCATATTAATACGAATTGTGCATACTATTAAAGTGCGTACTATTAAGTGCATACTATTAAGTAAAAACAAGTCTTGACAATGGGTCAAGGATATGACCAAAGTGTGACAATGCTGATAATACTCCACGATATATATATCACAACTTTTAATTAAGACTGCGCCGCCCAACTCATGACGAAACATTAAATCTTTGCGTATACGGGAAGACTATTTCTTAAAATAAAAGAAAATAAAACAGGATAATGCGCGCTCTTGTGTTCGCATGTGAATTTCTATATTGTCGTCTTAACTATAAAACTTTGATGTTCACTAAAGAGGATGCTTCAAAGAGGAGGAGGGATATTTTACATTTTCTTCCATTTGAGGATATATAAAAGATACATCGGATTTTAATGCTTGACAATTTATTTCCGGCAGGAAAAAATCAAATGCTCGGGGTCATATTCCTTGTCAGTGAAAGTTCGGTCTTACGTAATAACTTTCGCATATATCGAAGCATAATTTCCGTCTTGCAAAAACTCATTTCTCATTACGTGAAAGTTTGTAAAATAATATTATAAACTGCACATTGTGTTGCTTGGCAGAACGGAGTTGTAGTGGATTAGCAAAAAAAAGAACGTCTATCAAAAGTGCGTTGTATTAAAAAAGGAGATAATACTTCATAATTTAATACATGTACATTTTGTATAGTTCTCAAATTCTGAGCGTAAATCTATCAATATAACAAAGAATAGAAAATCACGATTCGATTAAAATAACAAGAAAATAATCGGGTCATAATTGAGAAGTGAGTTTCTCAAATTTTAACTCATTGTAATTATTTATTCGACCTGAAAATATACATATGAAATATTTTAATAGCGATAATAACATACTGCAATGAGAGACATCGCTTAATTTATGCTTATCTTTAATAAAAGTCTAACATTGTAAATAGTACAATATTATATCTTTGAGTAGTTTATTTGCTGCTGAATCACCGAATGAATTAAAATCGAATATGTAATTATGCGAAAGTATGTAGAATCGAGGTCATATGACCCCGCTTAACCTCTTGGCTAGCCTGAAACACATTTAGAACGATCAAACAGGAAAAAAACACGATTGTAAAAAATATCAATGAACTTCGTAATTTAAGGTTCCTGTGCTGGGATTCTGTAACTCGTTATTGGAGTTAACGACAGTTTCGTCATCGTTGCGCAGCTTTTCTACGGTATACAAAAGCTGCGCAACGATGACGAAACTGTCATTAACTCCAATAACGAATTACCCCTTGTCCACAAACTTGCTTTAATCTTTAAACCGTAATAAATTGACCAACCACAGTCTGTTATTTTAAAAATAATCAACTGTGGTTGGTCAATTTCTTACGGCTTAAGAATTAAAGCAAGGTTGTGGACAAGGGATTACAGAATCCCAGCACTGGTCCCTCACCGCGAAACTCTCGATTGATGATGTCAGAGGTGAGAAAATACACGATAAAATCACTTGCAAGAAACGTTGTAATAAAAGTCATAGTCATAAAATGATGCTTGTAATCGACCAGACATATCAGTAAAATAGTCCACGCGCTTTGCTTTTGTTTGTCAACCATCAATAAATTACAATAAATTAAAATACAAAAGATTAACGCAATTTACCATTGACGCAATTACCATTTTGAACCTATCTTTTTTCATATTGGTCACGTTGATTCATCTGTTCTATCGATTACAATCATCGTAATTTTATGAATACATCTTTTTTCTCTCTTCTTTATTATGATTTGGGAAGATATACCATTGGCCAATCCTCAGGTAAAGTCATTATAAAAATTCCAGCAAAGAGATATGAAATTCTGAAGTTACATTCTTAGATTGTTTCTAACGAAGTTCTTCAGAATTTCGTAGGTCTCAATATTACCACCAAACACAATGTCAATGATACTTATATTGTTTCTATGTATTTTGCAAGAATTTTCAGCATGTGTTTTCTCACTCGTCATCATAAGTCGAGATAGCCGCGACGAGGACACACAAGAGCTTCAATAAATAAAAATAATCACAAAGAGTGAAACAGACTTGTGCACACAAAGAAATGCGTGCACAAAATGAAGAAGCGGTTCGAGCAATCATAATACACGAGCTCCTGCTCGCGCACGATGAGCACGATTGAAAAATTACCGGAAGCGCGGGGAGGAAACACCATCGATCGGTGCGAACCTATACTTGCAAAATGGCATCTGCGGATAAACATTCCTATTAAAGGGCTACCGCTTTTCACCGGGAGATAGCAGCATCGCCGTGCGATTATTGATCGCACAGCGAAAACTGCGGGGATCAACCTCACGGATATTTGACCATTACCGCCAAATTCACCGTGACACGTGAAGGGACTGCGGCTTTGACTGCACCTCTTCGAGCTACCACGAGAAACAACGAACAATTTCTCACTCGTGAATTAGCGCGGCAAGTGTCGGGTTGTCCTCACTTGCGACAAATATATCCGCGCACAGGATAGGATGTCGATCGTTAAACGCATCGGTCGCAAAGTGTCGCGGACGCCATTATTTATGGTTATGGCAATTCGAGCGTAACGTACTTCACGCGCGACGAACACGCGATTCCGCAGGATCTTGCAGAAATGCGTGTTAGCGCCGTTTAGGACACATGTCGCGTGGAGTCACGCTTCTATCTTTGTAGTGAGTATCGTTTTGTTTGATATTTGATAAACACGGCATGCACGAAAAACTCCTGCTACCTCGTCCTCATCAGGTGTCTCAAACGCGCGTCGTTGTGGCTCGTATTCATGATTGTTACTTGAAACCTGTCTCAAATGAGGCAATAAATTTCAGACAGAATTAGATGTGCATTTTTTAGTTGAATCGCGTTTATAAGTGTAATGTCAACATATATTTTACAATTCAAGTAAATGGTTTACAATTCAAGTAAATGTAAATTTAGATCTATGTATCTCACTTGGGACAAACTTTGGCTCAGGCAGAATAAAAAAATCATGATGTCACAATTATATTATAGTGACGAGAAAATGACTAAGCATACTTTTCAATCACGATTCGATCATTTTTTTGTCACTTTGACGCAATCGTGATTTTTTTCTACTTGCAGCGACTACTAACACAATCGTGATTTTTTTGTCTACTTACAGCGACTACTAATCTTATGTTTTTTATGGTTTTGTGCTCTTGATATTTGCATTCATCATCTCGTAAATCCCGCACGTGTAAATATGTTTCTCCAAGTTTCTCGATAAATGATATCGAGAAATGTGTTAAGTAGAAGAAACTGAATCATTAGAAAGCAGTCGATTAAACTAGAAAACCGTACAGTCTGCTCCGGTTACCCGGTGACTGGAAAACCTCAAACGGGAAGTGCACGACGTTTCACATGTAGAATTTGGGGCTGAAGATGCGCAATTATCGCATACGATTTATCTTTACATCGTAATATCCTCTCATCTTCATTTTGAAAATTAGATCTTTATTCCGAACTCTCTTTTATCAATAAAGGTGCCCCTAAAAGTGATTTATAAGTCTTCTGATTAACTATGAGCCACTTTCATTGATAAAAGAGAGCTAACTAAAGGGAATTAATAAAAAAGAGTCGATAAAAAAAAGCCACTTTTATCGATAAAAGAGAGTTGAGGATAAGGGCCGCAATATCCTCGTCTTCATGTACAAAGTGATACCTAAATTACGTTAACAATAATTTCCTTAATCCATATAAAAATTGTCTTTTGGAATAAAGAACGAAAAAGGTAACAAATTGCTTTTTACTGTTGGCAAGAATACGAGTATGTACCCAGATAACACAGAGAATTAAAAAAGAATTAAAAAAAGAATACAGTCGTATGTCACTAATTCTGAGTTCATTTTCAGATGCAAAAAGAATTCTTCAGAGTTCAGTTCAGTAAAAAGAATTCTTTTTGCATTTAAAAATAAACTCAGAATTGGTGATATACAACTGAATTCTTTTTTAATTCTCTGTGCTATCTGGGTATAAAGTTCACCCAAGTAAAACGAAAAATCACGAGGACGTGAAAATGACGAGAGAACGATTGAATTGTGATTGAAGAATGGGTTCTTTTTTAGTCGTTTTCTCGTCACTGACATCAATTTTGATACATCGTACCATCTTGGTAGTGTCGTCCTTTCTGAGAACCGTCGACCGACTCATCGTCGTGTCCTAATGATCTCATTTCGCCATCTTGTCGCTCGGAGCGTTTCCGCCAACAACCTCGTGTCCTTTATTGCAGGACGTCGAACGTGGCGAGGTCTATTCCGCGGTAGGAACCTCGTCGTCCAGCCACTCGCAGCCAGCAACAGTCGCAGCGTTGGCGTCGCTACCAACGCCGACACCGATGCCGAACCCGGTAGCGGTGTCCGCGTTCGTGGCAACGCCGACATCGCTGCATGCGTCCTCTCCCGCTGCCGCCGCCGCCGCTGCTGCTGCTGCTGCTGCTAGTGGCGGCAGATACGACGCGAGAACAACGACCGGAGGAGTGGGACACGAAGTGAACGTGCTGCCAGCGGACGCTCAAGATCTGCCTAGTACACGTGCGAACATAGGCTCGACGGCGGCTGTTCGATCGGAGAAAGATCAGTCCGCCAGAGGTGGAAGAAACCGTTGGAAAGCAGTCAGCCGTGTATTCCGACACCTTATGCTCATCATGCTGTTGCTGGCTGCCCTTAGCGGTGTCCTGGCCGTGCTCGTGATCTACATGGGCCCAATCTACCTGGTGCAGCTGCTCGTGGTGGTCTCGGTCGCGTACTTCGTCGCCGGTGGCCGCCTAAGATGGTTTTACGTTGCCTTCAGGACATTACCGCGTGATTTCAAGTGAGTAGAGGTTTTGCGTTTCAGGACATTTCCGCGCATCATCAACGTGCTCGTTGTTTCATACGGATCAGTCTGCATTGAGAAAAAAAAATGTTTGCTATTTATAACTATAATCACATAAAGAAAAAATTACTTACATGATCAAGAAAACCATTTTTTTTTTTAATTAAACTTTACTATATCATGTTAGTGATAATAATCTTGTATGCATTACTATACTATTTTACTACAAAAAAGATGGTTGGCGCCAAAAATAATTGTAATTTTGATTACAGTTAGATCAATCATTTTTTTTCTCTCAGCACACTGATGCTCGGTTTCATCAATTAAGTCTCAACCTGAATTTTAAATGCCTTCAAACGAAACTTAGTAGATTCGGTTAAGAAACCGTTGGTAAAACCGAGCCTAAAACGTCTAAAGCTCTTTTCGGACGATGTCTCTCTCTTACGAAACTTTGAGATCTTTCAGTGAAACGCTTGAACTGCAGAGTAATTCATCGCCAAAAAAATCACGATTAGATACACAAGAAAAAAAGAGATCTTGCTCACAAATGACAAACAAAGGCGATTTTATCAAAATGTCGTTTTATCACTATATGAAACGTTTATCTGATTATGTAACTATACAATCATGGATCAGTGATTATGATCGCGTTAAGTTAATAGTGGAGAGCATTTACATTTTAATTTTGATCAGTCATTTAAGAATACCACGTTGATAGTAGTAACATGATTAAAAACGGCAAAAAAATTAAATGTTAGGCGAAAAAATATATTTGTTTATTTCCAAAGAACTTCTGCACTAATGCAGACTATTGCGATAAAAGAAAGAGAGAAGAATTAGAGTGAAAAAAGTATACTTGTCTCTCTCTAACTTATTATATTAGTGCAAAAGTTCATCGAAAACAAATCTAACGATAAACAGACGATAAATTTTTTTCTGCAAACCACAACATTACTAAGCGTGATAGTGCGTGATATCACATATGGAAGTATGGAAATGTTCCGGATATTGTGTTTATTATGATGTTTAATACGTATAAATAGTTATTTGATCATATTTGGCACACAGCTAATTTTCTAAAAAGCGAGGCGATTTCTTCGTCATTTTTATTTTACGATTATGTAATAGTTATTTCGGCAAAAGAGGAATATCTGGAGCATTTCTCAAGTGTGTAGAAGAAATTGCAAGTGTCATTTTAATGATATATCTTTTTATTTGGCCGTGGTTTGTAGAAATGTTGAGTTTTCTTCGTTTCTGACATCATCAATCCAATATGGCCGCGGCAATTGGTCAGGAGCCTCAATGGGTGATTGCGACTGATATAACATGGAAGGGCCGTGTAACTGTTTTGAGCTTTTTTTTAGTATTTTTTCACGTTTAAAAGTAATCTCTATCATCAAATTGACACAATATTGGGAAACGAAGAAGGCCCCCCTCCCCTAGGGGCAACATAAACAAACGAAGCAAATAAACAATGTCGAATTGAGAACCACTATTTCACATAGTATCAAGAGCGGGATATAATCCATCGATTAAGACGATTATTACATCAGCCATCCCGTTATATTAAAACTCGTTTACAATACGCGGAATAAGCTTGGTATAAAAAAGTTAGAGAGAGAATAAGAGAGAATATAAGAAAGAAATTATTTTTATTTCTCACTTTAAACTTACAGTAAACTTACTGCGTATAGTAGACGAGGCCTTAGCACTTTTCTCACTCACTAAAAAATTTGTGACATCCATTTTCAGCGGATTCATTGCTCACTCTATATTATTAGATTTCGTAAGTCCATGTTATATTTGCAATCTGAATTTATAACTTTCGCATACTCGCGCTAGTATTGTTGGTTTCGACGCGTGAGGGAGAATAAACAAAAACGTAATGTTTAAAAAAAACATCATCTTTGATTTCCGTCTTTAACTCTATACCGACTAGTTAATGATTACTGGTAACTTTGAATTCTCTGCTATTAAATGATTAACACACACATAGGTTGCTTTCCAACAAGAGACACAAGTCGAGACACAAATATCATTCTATCTTTATTCCACATTTAGTGAGTAACAAAGATAGGATGATACTTGTGTAAACTTGTATTTCTTGTTGGAAAGCAACTATAGATACCTACGCAGATAACAAATAACGTCATATTCGCAAGAAATCTTATAGAATCCGAACAAAAAACAATATACCGTTGCAATAAGCACTGCGCGTTATAAGCAGTGGAAAAGTTCTTTTTTCATTATTTTGACTGGATGGAAATTTAAAAGATATTTCTTATATCTGATCGAAAAATCTATATATTTATTATTGCAAGTGTGCAAAATGATATACAAGGGCTCTTTTAAATGTCTATCTTAATGAGTTGATGTTATGATGATTAAGACTTTTATCTTTAGATTGTTCAAATTAAAAAAAGTTTCCCGTTCTCGGAATTAATGTATGTGTATGCGTGCGCAAGAAAGTAATTTATAACAACATAAAACTCGAACTTAATAAAAAAGTTTTTCTTTTTTTTCAGAGGAGTTATAGGATATTTAAGAATGCTATGGTTAATACGTGGTCATAGCAGAAAAAACAGAAATGTTGCTGATATATTTAGGCAGTACGTCAATCGTCATCCTAACAAGGCGTGTTTCATATTTGAAGATCAGGAATGGAGCTTTCAACAGGTAAAATTGTTTTTTTATAAAAACTAGTGTTTTTAGTGAATGTCTTTCTTTCAATATATCACAATTTTTGCAGACTGTTCTTTTAATAAAATTATAAGCTATTTTACATTAAAAAATAGTTGATAACTTGATTTTAGAAATTATTATAATTCAAGGAATTACTGAAAATAAAATATATGATTTAACTTATATGCAAACTCTCATTTTATATATTCACAAAATATATTTAAAAAATTCCTCACTAAAATATATGAAGTTGTCAATAATAAGTTATTATTCATATAAATTTGGTATAAATATATTTTGCAAATCATGCAGTATGAAATCGCAAACAACATTAATTATTTTCAAATAATATGCTTTGTAAGGTCTTAAATATATGTTAATGATTTGTACATGGATGTCTGCGCCTTTTATGACCTTTTAAAATTTGCAAGTTCAACGATACAAGTAAATTTTTTATTTCAACGTTTCTTATTCATTTATCAAATACACCTGCAATGATTATTTGCCTGTTTTCAGTTAAATTTGCTGATCATTCCATTTGCATAAATATACAATCAATTTAACCTTTAACAATAATACATATGTAGATTTTTAAAAAACCTTGCACAATTCTTATGAGAAAAACGTTTTCAGTTCACTTGAGTTTATGATATATTATAGTTGTTGCAATTCTAATAAAAAATCTCAAAGTGTAAAATCCTTGTATGGCTAGTTTATGAATTAAAAACATTTGAAAATCTTTTTTAAGAAATCCGTTCGTATGTTTGCTTATATAAGTTTGCACTTGTGTGCCCATGATGGTTCGTCACTTCCGTAATATTTAATGACTCGAAACTGTGTAATCGTATAAAGGTTTTGCACTTTGAGATTTTTTATCGGGACTGTATATATATAGTTGTAATATATAACAAATTCAAGCGACTGAAAACATTTTCTTGAAGAACTTCGGATCCTTTGTGCATATTTTCAATCTTTGTTTTGCATTTCTTCTTTGCTATGTGCATTTCGTTTTATAAATTATCTTAATTTTAATCTTAATTTCTTGGTACATTCTAAACAACTTGTAGTCGATTTTACTTTATACAGAGTGATTTACGAAAAATTCGAATGTGTAACTCGTACGGTTGACTACAAAAAAAGAAAAATTTCTAACAGAGGAAGCAGTGAAAAAAGGATTGATAATATCCGATATCTTACACGCTTGCTTGAATCATTCTGTGTATACGTACGATATTTGTTATATATAAATATATTGTAATATATTCATATATATAATATTGTAATATATTCATTATTCCGTTAATTTATAGGTGGAGGACTTTAGTAACAAAATCGCGACGATATTCAAAATGCACGGTTATAAAAAAGGAGATGCGGTTGCATTATTATTGGACAATCGGCCGGAATTTGTCGCCATTTGGCTAGGTTTGAGCAAACTTGGTGTAATAACGTCTTTAATTAATACGAACCTACGTAAAAACAGCCTTTTGCACAGTATCAATATTGCACGATGTCAGGCGCTTATATATGGCGCGGAATTTTTCGACGGTAAGGATAGTGATTAACCTTTAACTAATGATTCTTCAACAGTGTGTTTAAGGCTTCTGAATGCTCACCATGACTATCTTGATTTATGACATCAGAAGAGCGAAGAAATATATGTCAAAAATTCCGGTAAAATATGTTAAAGTAAAAAAGATAAAATGAATTGATGGATAAAATGAATTTAATATTCAGGAAGATTTGTATAAAATGATCGATTTAATTATTTGCTAAATAAGTCCATATGAACTATTTTTTCATGTCTTCAAATTTTGCTAATATTAAATTGGTCACTTTATACAAATCACACTGTATAATTGTAAAATTAACGTGACAAAATGATAAGAAAAGATTTAGAATAAGAAGATTATTCTAAATCTTTTCTTATCATTTTGTTAATTATTATTAAGATCTATCTTAATAATTTAAAATTATTAAGATCTATCTTAATAATTTAAAAAATATGCTTCATCAATTGCGTCTTTATTTTATGAATATATCTTTATTTTAACATATTTTGTAGGAATTTTAAATGTATATTTTTTTCTCGCTTTTGTCGTCATCAATCAAGATAACGATGAAGAATAAGTAAGCCTTAAATGTAGCCGTACAAATTGTATTTAAAGTCACTGGTCTAACTTTAACGATATATTTTTAATCCCAATTTTGCAGATATTCTTCTAATCGTACTGATGAAAAAATGCCGTAGGGACATAAATGCGTGAGTACCTGGTTTAGTTTAACCCTTTAGGATCGCACGTTTTATTATTGTTTGTTACTCAAAAATTAATTGTGCTTGTTCGCATCCGTTATCTTATTTCAATCTCCTAGAGAAATAATATTTGACTACTCTTGACAGTTTATCCAAATATTGAAATTTCGTGAATGCGCAACTTTCAACGCCTATAACTCCAAAAGAATTCATTTGCAGATTTATGTTTGCGCGACGCTTTTTCATAAGTACGATTAGTAGACCGACAAAAGTTACACTGGTGAAGTTCAGCCAAAAACATTTCCGTTAATTCCAGCTGTGGCGGACATTGCCTCTTCATTGGATGTTAAACTGGCATTATACAGGTTCGGGAATCACCCGAATGCGATGTCAGTTGGATTGAAGGAGAAAGATTTAAACACCATCTTGATAGATGTGTCCGCGACACCACCAACGATACAGGAAAAGAGTGGTTACAACAATGAATTGTTATATATTTACACCAGTGGTACTACAGGTCTTCCCAAAGCGGCCGTTATTACTAGCGCAAGGTAAGTACGTCACACATAACGGCATCCGTAAATGTTTCCCTAGTTATCGCAACACCGTTCCCGGCGAATAGTAAGTCCCGTTTGCGTTACGGTACGAGTTCTGAGAGTCGCAAAAACGATTGGAATGAGAAGGACTAATCATTCTTACTTTTTACGAAAGAAAATGAGACGTACTAAAAATAATTTTAGCGCATATTCAAATGATACTGAAGCGCAATATGTTGTGTCACATTCCATGTTTCAAAATATTAAACAGCAAGATATTATTGAAACGAGCTGCATTATGCATCTTCTTCCAGATATATATTTATTGCTAGCAGCGTACATGTTTTTGGAATGTTACGGAACTCTGATAGAATATACACAGCCTTGCCGATGTACCATACCGCTGGAGGAGTGATGGCAATAGGTCAGGCTTTGTTACATGGACATACAACAGTTATTAGGAAGAAGTTTTCAGCTAGTTCGTATTTCAGCGACTGTATCAAGTACAAATGCACTGTAAGTGTAAATCTTGATACGTAACGCTCTAACTTTGCAAAATTTTGTTTTTTTATATTATAGTGTAAGCATGATCAATATTATTTCTTAATCTTTCAAATAAATTCTACTAATTAAATTCTACTTGGATTTTTCTTATTAATAAGATTTTCGCTAACATTATTGAGACTAAGACTACATGAATGTCATATTTACGTTCCTGATAAAACTTTTGGAAATAGGTTGCTCAATATATAGGAGAAATGTGTCGATACATATTGGCAGTACCACCTAAGAAAGAGGACAAGGAGCATAATATTAAATTAATTGTTGGCAACGGACTGAGACCGCAGATATGGAGTGAATTTGTAGAGCGATTTAATATACCACGAGTCCTTGAATTTTATGGCGCAACCGAGGGTAATGCTAATATCAGTAAGTACAAATTGCTTAATAACTGTTTTGAAATTTTTTAACAAACTTATACAATTCACTCATTACCAATGAGTTTTTTAAATAGTTCAAAATTCATTTTACCAGTTTTTTTTTTTTTCATATAAAAAAATATTCTCTTTTAGTGAACCAGTCTCAGGGTATTAACATTATTTTATTGAGATAATTTTGTTTGAAAGATGCAACATATAGAACTTATAATTTTCAAACATTGTATAGAATATCATCATTTCAGTGAACGTTGACAACAAGGTGGGGGCAATAGGCTTTATGTCAAGAATTATTCCATCGGTCTATCCCATATCAGTCATTAAAGTAGATGCAGATGGAGAACCTATACGCAATTCTAAAGGACTGTGTCAGATCTGTGAACCAAGTGAGTTGATACATTCATTGATTTTTAACAATTATAAAATTAGTTCCTTACTTTTGATAGTAGTGGACAAATAGTATACTAATTTCATAAATTTCATAAATTATATTTGACAAAAAACAGTTTTCTTATATATCAGTTTCAGAATTCGTAATTTTACATGTTACAATGACTCAAATTTTTTATTCAACAGATGAACCTGGTGTATTTATTGGTAAAATCCTACCAAATAATCCGACAAGAGCATTTTTAGGATATGTGGATCGAAGCGCATCTGAGAAAAAAATAGTTCGCGATGTTTTTTCAAAAGGCGATTCTGCTTTCCTATCAGGTATATGCAACATTTTTTCATTTAGTATACAATCGTAAGCGTAAGATTTCCATAGATGCAAAATTATAAATGTATTGTTAAGCACAAACTCTGTTGATAATACAGAACAACGTTCCATGAATAGTTCGATAAATTTAATTATAATTATATACGTAGGAGACATCGTTGTTGGCGACGAATTCGGATATTTGTACTTCAAAGACAGAACAGGAGACACATTCAGATGGAAAGGAGAGAATGTATCAACTTCCGAAATTGAAGGAATAGTCAGCAATCTCATCAATTATCGAGACTGTATAATATATGGTGTCGAGGTAAAAATAATTATTCCACTCTCACATAGTTTTCTTTTACCTAATTTTCTATATGAACAATATAAAGATATTTGTTAATTAAATTTTCTCCTAGACAATGAAAAAAATATGTTAGATTTACGATTGCTATCACACTATACTATTCGTATACTGTAAAATATTCAAAAAATATAACTGTGTATACCGATATTAAAAAGAAACCAAAGATTATGATATAGTAACATTATAAAATATTCTTGATAGATTCGAGGTGCTGAAGGTAGAGCGGGAATGGCTGCAATTTATGATGAAAATGGAACATTGGATGTAAATAAATTAGCCTCTGACATTAAAGAACAATTACCCACCTATTCCAGGCCACAATTTGTTAGGATTCTGACAAAAATTGATCTCACAGGTATATTTGTATATAAATTTGTATATAAATGTACATGTTTCATATCCATTTTGGTTTTGTATAATTTATTATTATTACCTTTGATTAACACATTTGTGCTTAATTTATAGTTTACGAAATCTAATTAATATATATATTTTATCATATTTGAATATACCTACATATAAATCAAATAAGGATAAGCTGATTTTGATTAGTTTATTTTGTATTTATAGGAACATTCAAACTGAAGAAAAAGGACCTCCAAGAAGAAGGATACAATCCATATAAAATTCAAGACAAATTATATTATTTAGATCCAAAGCTTGGTTATCTCTCACTAACATCAGAGATTTATGACCAAATTCAACAAGGGAGAATCAAGTTTTAAATTTATATTATATAATTTATTAATATTTGATAGCTGGGAAACTATAAATTGTGGCAATAATTACATCAACACTATCCTAAATGTATTTGACATTTGTTTTACATAGACAATGTAATATACTATAAAACTTTGTTATAAGATTGGGACTGGGGTTGCAAGAATAGAAAATTCTTAAAGAGATGATATATTGTGAATACATATATCAGGAATCAATTTTTATTTAATATTTAATAGAAATATAGATGTGTAAATTGAGTTCTATAGATGTTAAGTTTATGTGTTTATTTAGTTTTTTAGTTTAATTATTATGGTCTTAAGATATTTTTTTAAATTGTTTTTAAGTACAATGATCTTATCTATTTGTTTTAATAAAAAGATCTTTATCTATATTTATTATATTTACAAGTACCATATACCTCATATATCTAAAATTGAAAGTCCTTTGATCTGCCATTGAGCTATTCTATTTGAAAATAAAGGTTACTTGTTAAAAAAACAAAAAGTTTTTTCTCAGTACAAGTTCTTGATTCAATTAATTACATATTTGACATCTATAATATATAATTCATTATTGGTTCAATAATTTTTCACTCATTATCTGAATGCTGATTCGACAAAATATAAACATTTTCGTGACATTCATCTATTATACACGCGGTATGTCAACACCATTTGACAGTTCATGTAGTAACGTCACGTGAACAACACGTGAGAAAGCAAAAGTTTTATTCCAACAAATTTGGAAGCCTATCGATATGAACGATATCATACATAAAATCTTGGATTTTACTATCGGAAATATATTCGGTAAAGACATAACTTGCAGAGAACCCGTGCATCGTTGTGACGATTACCAACCAGGTTCTTTAGTAGAGCTGGGAAGAACTGGTATTAAAGTATGAATTAAACGTAACCCATAATGATACAAAATTAAAGTAAAGCTTTCACATTTTCTTTTCTCTACAAATATATTCACATACAGAAAGTATTATGCATATAATGTGTACGTATGTTATGTGTGTGTGGTAAACCATGAGAAGCAAGCTCTTTAGATATCGGAGCAAGATCTTCGGTAAATTATAATAATATTGAAACGCACCTTCTCTCTCTCTCTCTCTCTCTCTCTCTCTCACTCTCTCTCACATAGTTCTTGTTTCGAAAACTACATCGAGAGAGATACTCGTGTAAAGTCTCACGGCGCAGCTGACATTTTGTACAGTCGTCGACGAAAGTGTAATTATGCTCGGCTCTCACAGTTAGGCAAGCCCTACCGATAGAACCCGAGTTTATCACGGATATAAATTGATATTAGTTGCAGTACATATAACTCTCCGCTAGTATACTCCTTATATTTTATTCATCATATCCTTCATTGTAAAATACGAGATAAACTTTTTAGAAGATTGTACATAAGAGAGAGAGAGAGAGAGAGACAACCATCCCACTGAAAATCTCTCTCAGTCGAATCACTTTTCAGACGCCAGCACACATCTTAGTATTATTGTAGTTCGATGCATTAGAGATTTGTTTAAAGAGCAAAAATGGCGGACGGAATAAGATTATTGAGAGTGTGTTATCTTTAGTTGTCGCGTATTACATTTTTTTGTTATTACGTTTTATATTAATATAAATATTAATATAATTGATCGATAATTTTCTTAAAAATCTCTGACAAATTTCGTGAATCTTTGTGTATTCCATTAATGCACGACGAGACATTATATAGGAAGATAAATAATTTATGTAACAGATTTACACACTCGGAAAACAATGGTAATTGTATGATTATGTAAAATTATTGAGAATTACGAATTACCCATGCTTAAACCTTTAATTTTTAATTTATTGTTTTATATAAAAATACACATATTTTTTTAATGTCAAGTTTTTCAAGAAATTTTTAATGCCGTGCGGGTTATGTGCGGCAATACCTGCAATAAGTCCAACAAATTCATCAGGAGATAGCATATTATCTGATAATAAAGAAGCAGATGTTAAGAAACGAATTCGACCATCTGAACTACCTATTTATTCCTTTGAAGAGGACTATTCTAAGCAGATGTCATGGTAAAGCACAAGTAATTCCAACCATGATATATATTTTCTGTTATAACTACTATATTACATCTATAAAATCTAAATGAAATCTCTGTACAAAGATATATAGCTCTATTTTTATCTCTTATACTATTCATAAAATTAACCTATATGTTATATAGTATTTATAGTTTATACAATATATATGTTTAATTTTATTTTAGCGATACAGAATGCTCACCTTCCTTCTTAGAACAGAATATATCTAAAGTTCGTAAGTCTGCTCAAGCAGTTGCATCTGAGTATCAACATTACACCGGTGTTATTTCAGACAAAGTTGATATTGGCTTTGAACACAGCAGATGTAAATAATTAGTTGTATATATTTAAAGCATGCATTATATAAGATTACTTGGCTGTATAATGATAATGTGGTTATTTGCGGTTTCAGCTCTTTTGGATTATCTCCGTGAGGAGAGTAATGTAATGCCACGTATGGGTGCTATTGGTATTGGTGGATTGGCTGGATTAATACTCGGTCTCAGAGGACGTACATTTAAACGACTTGTATATTCCAGCACTGGTGCTCTCACCATAGCAGCTTTGTGTTACCCTAAAAAGGCGGAAGAAGGAGTTGACTTGGCAAAACATTACATAAATGTTGGATACAACTTCGTCTATGGTGGTAATAAATATTAGATTACTGTTACTATATTATTGTTAGTAATGTAAGAGTTTTATTGGAAGTTTGTTATCTCAGTATATTATTGACCCGAGTTTTGCCAACACATCTTATGAGTTGCATGCAATAACATACTATGTACTAATTAAATCTACGCTACTCTTACATCGAAGATAATTTTCCTTAGAAACTAGATGTTCTGCGACGGTCAGCGCGAGATGGCAATAATATATGAAACATTTTGCATGAAGAAGATATGAGATAAAACGTAGCGCTGTGATTGTTGATAATGCATAGCTAATCCATGGATGTATCAATTCTTTGTTCTTTATCATAAATAATTTCAGTCAAACCAGGTGACGAACAGCAGCTGCAAATCGAAATGCCGGAAATGAAATTCCCGACATCTTTTTCCGAATTTGTAGACTTAACGATTGTCACAGGTTCAGCGGCAGCTAGTGCTGTTGGGGATTTTGCACAGAACGCGTACGCATCTTTGAGTGGTAACAAGGAGGTAGGACACAACCGAGAACCTCCTGCATCTAGTATTGCTTCTCTTCTCTTACGCCCTGATTACTCAATGTACTTTTGAATGTGCTATCAGAGTCTTTACTTGATAACTCTAACTGAATCATTGATCTATCGGGCTCTTCTTTTCAAGAAAAATCCAAATAGATAGAGAAATTCGTAGACAAGAAGTGGTTCAGTATATTTAGGTTACTCTGTATATATCTACAGTGAGTAAAGAAAGTGAACACACACAATTCCATATTCTCTTTTAAAAATATTCCTTTGAACAGATTGGTATAAATTTTCCTCTTGCACACATTTATTCTAAAAGGGATAGGAAATACAAATACTTTGTTTACTCACTGTACAACCAAGAGCTGCAACTAATTTTCAGTTTATTCACAGATTTGATTGTGACTTCCAAGATTTCTTTGCGTACAAGTTCATATTATATACTAAAATAATGTATCAGTGATGTTTTTCCAGTTTTCATACATATGCCCTATCTGGTATATTATAAAGTTAGTATGTTATTGCTTTAAGAGCAACTTAATCTGAGTAAAATCGATGGAAAATTACTGCACAATTGTTTTCTACAGAGCAATGTGTTATCATTTACAACTGATTTGTTATCACATCCTGGAGATTTATTGGAATTTTAATGCATCACCAAAAATATAATTTTTTTCAAAAGTCCCTATCAGTCTGTAAATCTCAATGATAAGATAAAACACGTCTTTGACAGACATTCAAAGTGCAGACGTTACACCAAATTTTAGATAAAGATAAACTTTTAGGTGTTTACCTTTTATTTTCGCGTTATCTTACTTTCTATTTGTCTTGAAATTTGTTCTCCTCGCTTTTCGCTGTGTGAGTTTCTGAATTGTGTATAAGATATCTGTATATATAGATGTTACAACTTGTGTTTCAGAAAAATCAAGCAATGACCGAGACAAGCGCTAAAACGGAGGCAGACGTAAAGCAAAATTAGATGGTTCACGATCAGGCTTGTGTGAGTAGTGAAAAGAAATGCATATTGTCGTAGAGCGATGAAGAGCAATTGTGAAAATTAATTTATTTAATAAATAAATTATATATACTTAGTGAGTACATAATGAAGTAATAAATCATGCTTGTGAAGTTGAAAAAAGTTTATAATATTTTAAGCTTTCCTCATACAAGATATCCTCGGACACACACTGTCATTTATCCTTTTTCTCGTCAATAGTTGCGATTTCTATCATCGAATATCGCTTGTGCGTAAATTATAAAAAGATCTTATCAGAAACAATTATCAGAAGAAACGAACAATTATAGTATTATATTATAGCTGCACTACAGTAACTACTCTCTTATATAATTTTGTTCTCCCGCTGTCAGTTTAAATTATCGCGCCTATTATCTCGTTGGCGGCTCTTATTGGCCCATCTTTGGTTAAATAATTATAGATTGTACGGTCAGAGAAAGGTTGCGACACTTTCACCTCGACCAACTTCACGGTACATCCATCGCGGATAATAGAAATTATCCGCGAGAATTATTGAAAATTCTTTTGGGCACGCACGGATGCGTCGCAAGATTCATTGAAGAAGAGTAAAAGTATTGTAAGCTTCTCCGCTGGCTGTATAATTAATTGCTTTGCGAAGGCCATGAAAGTCGTGGGATTCGTTCTCCCGGCACGTTTTCCATGATTCCGTACGAAGGGAAGGACGCTCTGCTTCGGCGCGCGAATTGGCGCGCAGCCGCGTCTCCCTTTATCGACTCGGGGGGTGCTCCCGGTCGCACCGTTTGACCGGATTTCGATCTTCACCCTGACGCACACGACCGCGAGAGTGGCCTGTTCGAAACCTGCGCACTTCGCAGCCCCCAGCAGTATGACTCGGCGAGCTAACGCGTGTCTTCGGCAAACACAAATCGCTGCGTAAATCATGAAAGGCGCGCGCGCTCGCCTGTCGTACGATTAAACCGATTTTCGTCCGGGTCGTTGCGCGACCTGTCCAGAGGTACATCCTAAATCGCTTTTTCTCTGTAGATACATGTAATATGTGTATATACATATGTACGTTTCTTATCATCTGAGAGAAAAGCAGTCGATGATCATATCCGGACGCGTCTTCGCGTCGCTCTCCTTCCAGGTGCGATGGCAGAGATGAGCCTCAGTGATTAGGGAACGCTCGCCGCTCTCGTCCAGGTAGTTCGGGAGGTTCAGTGACCGATCTGAGATGTGAGCATGAGGATCGCTCTTCGCTATTCTTCGTGGGGAGTGTTTTTTGTGACACTTAGCGAGCCGAAGGTGTATACAGACCGGCATAATAATCTTAACGCATAAGGTTAGAGCGCGTATCTCTCTCACGGGAAGCTCTAAAGTGGTGCAACTCCATGTGTAAAGACTGTTATGCCGGTCTGTGTAGCTCGTCGCGCGATGCTCACTTTCAATTTGGATGCTGCGAACTCGATACGTTATCATTGATCGCCCCTTTGTCTCCGAGTGAAAAGACCTTGACGAAGAAGAGTGTATATTCAGTGAATGCACAGTGTTTACGAGAGCACAATGAGGGATGCATCGATGAGTTCCGTGCCGGACAATGCGTGTACTTCGCGCGACTTGAGGATCTGCAAGTTGAGGTGTTAGAATTATAAGGTAAGCTTGGTGAATTTTAATAGGATTTCATTTGTGATTTTCATAGAATTTTTCATAGAAATTTTTCATAGAATTCGCAATATAGAATTTAAATAACTCAGAAACTTGAAAGATGTCTTAAGAACGTCCAAAAGACCCGCTGTTTTATTTAGACGCCTCTTTCACGTCGTAAAGACGTCTTTTAAAAGTTTGTGTTGTCAGAAATATACATAGAGAATAGACTCAAGCTTAACTGATCGCAGGTCATGTGTAAGGAAATTTTGGTGGACAATCGTCATGCTTCTATCTCATGTTCAAGCATCTCATAACATAGATAAGTCACAACTGTCACCTACACTGTCTCAAATTTTAAAACAGCGCAATACGCTCCTCGAATCTCTTGCATCGTACGACGATCTACAGTGGCTTGCAAAACGATTTAGACGATGAAGTTGCGAGCTCACCAAACTGTCAGAGCAATTATTTTTGGGCTTGCTTAGTAATTATATTATTAATTATCATTTATATTATTATTTTTTATTATCATTTAGTATTCTTACTATCATTTAGTGTACTATTACTTGTATTATCACTTAAGAATCCGTTGGTAATGACTCAATTTTGACGGTTTGGTAAGTTTCCAACTTCATTGCGTCGAAATCGTTTTATAACTTACAGTACGTCGCAAAACGATTTAGATACAACCCAGTAAATAAAGAACATTAGATTAACATCTTAAAACATTAATCTTATCTCTTGAACATTTTCGCTTAATATTTTAAAAACATAATTTCAAGGATATTACTGGATAATACTTTATCCTGGTGAATATTGCAAAAATTTTTTAGAGATATCAAAGTTATTCGTAATAATGTTGATACAAGGTTAAAAACTACATATTAGAAAACGTAACGTATTTATTAAATACTGTTATTAAATATTGTTGTAACATTATTCTATTTCTATTTTATTAATAATTTTTTTGCTTACTGGGAATGAACTTGAAAACGTAGACGATGGTCCTATGAGAGGACTTATTTTTGACTAATTCGCTCTCTTATTGGACTATTGGCTGCACTCTGAAGTTCATTGCGTCTAGACCGTTTTGCGTCCTATCGTACACTTTGTTTGGAACGTAGGACTTGCTTAGCTCGTAGACCAACATCCACAAACTGTTATTCCCGGCGCTCAGCTGCTCACAGGTGTCTGAGTGGGGAGATGACCGGCTGTAAAAAACGGTAACTTGTTAACTCTCATTATGCACGAGAGTATATTTAGACACGATGCATTCGATTCAAAAATAACTGAACTGAAACTGAAAAGCTTATTGTTACCTGAGTAATGAGCGAGGAAAGGACACTGCGACGAAGGAATTATCTCCTTCAACTTCGAACTATCGATTTCTAGTGGCATCCACTTTGCCGCAGTTGAAAAATGCACGAACAGCTGCTACTAACCCGTATGAAGTAATCGAAGACGAGAAACGAACAAGTTTGCAAGATATTGAATAATTGAATTTAAAATCAATTAAAATCAATCATAGGTCTAACCGCTCGTGGAAGAGCTGCAAGAATTTATGCGAGGACTTATTGCAAAATGTCTGCTGTGCGTGCAATTAATTTTGGAGTTAATCGAAGCTTACGAAGAGGAAAATTCATCGTGAAATTCAGTTCTTGGTCGGGATCTTATAACAGTGTCTTTGTTTCAAGATATTAATATCGTAGTCTATTGTTAAAAATAATTATCGTGGTTGCATAGTGGCGCTGAAAAGAGAACAAAAAATCGAAGCGAAACCGACGTGAATCGTTGTAATATTTGCGCGACGAGGAATTCGCCGAGGAACGTGTTTCGTCCTTGTTATGTTAATCTCGTGCGCGTTTCTAAAATTGGGATACGCGCGCACACGCGTGTGAACATGTCACATTATAGTCCACTGGTAATCGATACTATGTCGTGTCCTTCTACGAACGACGCTGTTAGGCATTTTCACATGTGAATTACATGTTCGTACACACGTTGAAAGTATACGCTAACCTACTTCTGCGAAGTAACGAAGTATACTCTATTAAACAGCTGAAAATATCGATTAAAGTATTGTCACGTGTTTTTCTTGGGTATTTAATTAAATAGTTATTTAGATGAATAGTTTTAAATAGATAAATCAGCATGAGTATGGTATATGTCGTCAACATCTTATCATGCGTATCGACTAATGTCGCTTTGAATTTATGAGACTCTATAAGTGTTCCATAGAATTTTCTGGACTAATCGGCTGTGCAAAGTTAACAAGGTTTCTACCTTGATTTTATTTCATTAAAAATTTACCCGCATTTGTAGGCCGAGCTTTTCAAGAATTGTCGCGTTTTCTGTTTCAGGGTGGATATGGTAACTATGAACTCCGAAAAATCGGCTTGCCGCCGAAAATCAGTGGAAAAGAGCAGCATCGAAAAGACACCAGAGCATGTCGAGGAAGCCGACAAGAAAAATGAGGACAATCGTATGAATGAGTCCCCGGATTTGTCCCCCAACACTCCTACATACAACGTCACTGCCTCTTGCGCCGAAGACACCCCTAACTACCTTGTCTATAAGAAGGTAACGTCATCTATAAAAAAAAAAGAGTATCGTATCAACGCGCACACACGCGCGCGTACGCGTACACAGGCGCGATATCGACTGTGCCTGATCGAGCACTTGTGTATCGACACTCCCTATGCAATTCCCTTCTGCTAGCTGTAGCGTGTAATTAGCATATTACAGGTCTTAATTTTCTCCCTTTTTCAAGCGAGTCACCTTTCCCTTTTTCACACAAAATCATATCGCCGCATTTTAGATGGAGTCGATCGTAGAGAAGATGTTGGATGAATTCACTGGCGTTCCCGTAAAAACAGTCAAGACTTTCATGACGAAAACGCCATCTGTTTTTACAGGTAAAGTAAAAGGATATCGATATTTTATAGTGTCAAAACTTCAGATACAGACTTCACTTTATGGTACTTCAGGTACAGACCTCATAGCATGGATGATGAAGAGCATGGATATAGATGATCAAGGTAAAAGCTTATTCCAAGAGTTTCTAACGTATGCTAATTACGGTAGTAAATTTTCTGGAAATTATTATTGAGTAAAACACGAAATCTCTAATGTGTACTCGTATGTTGACGCAGAGGCTCTTCATGTGGCTCATCTGATGGCATCTCACGGGTATTTTTTCCCTATCGACGACCACTGCCTTACTGTAAAGAACGACAACACTTTCTACAGATTTCAAACTCCCTATTTTTGGCCATCAAACTGTTGGGAACCTGAGAACACTGATTATGGTATAAAAGAATGTCGATCTTTTCCGTCAGTGTATTTCCCGAGTAACTCGATTATCTCTTTGTATCCTTTATAATTTCGCGCGCGTGTGTGCATCTGTCTTTACACTTGTCATTTTATTTTGCTAGCTGCACCTTGATACACCCGCTGGTGCGTGTTACCTTAAATGTTACAGCTGTCTATTTATGCAAAAGGACGATGCAGAACAAAACGCGACTGGAATTGGCGGACTACGAGGCGGAGAACCTGGCTAGATTGCAAAAGATGTTTTCGCGAAAATGGGAATTTATCTTTATGCAGGCGGAAGCGCAGAGCAAAGTCGACAAGAAAAGGGACAAGCTGGAAAGAAAAGTCTTGGATAGTCAAGAACGAGCTTTTTGGGACGTACATCGACCAATGGTAAAACGCACGTCTCTCACACAAGACTGAATTAATTGCACGATAATATCGTGCAACACGCATCGTGTTTTCGCGTGATGAACGCGATGCATTATTAAATTACGTTTCAGCCCGGATGCGTGAACACCACCGAGCTGGATATCAAAAAAGCTTGTCGCAGTCACAAGTCCGTCGTACAGCCGAGCAAGCATTTGCATCTGGGCCTCGCGGGCGGCAGGATATCACCGTCTGTGGAAACGCACGCGAACTCGTCATCGGTAGAATTTCTGCAGAAGGAGATCGAGACGCTGAGAGACAGACTGGACAGGCCCGTCATCAAAGTGTCAAAAGTGGCCGAAGCGTATGTCGATTGAATTTGAAACTATTCGTTTGAACACAAAGCCGATCTATCCGTTCATATCGCTCTATGCGACTGTATACACGGAAAAAATAATTCCGTTGGTGCAATTGAATTTTCGGTTGCTCAGGGATCAGACGAAAACTCGTCTGTAGGAACAGAAAAATTCCTTTATAAAGTTTCTGTATAGTCAGTTGTTCTTAGTTGTCTCAATCGAGTTCTAATATCGCTGAATGTTCAGACAAATATTTTCGGTTGCGACAACAGAAATATTAGTTTTCATAACAAAGATATCGCTTCTGATCAATTAATTTTCAGTTGGTTGCCTATTCGGTTGCACCAATTGAAATTTTTTTGCGTGTAGACAGCGCGTTTACGTTCGTTTGAGCATGGCTAGACACGTGCACCATAGGCTGATCGGTACGCTAATATTTTCAGTTTGATCGGGTACTTTGAGCAGTACATGGAGTACGACCCGTTTTGCACTCAGCCCGAACTGACGAATCCGTGGATATCCGATAGCCCGGAGATGTGGGAGCAAGAGAAATTAGCGTACGTACATTCTCACGACAGAGGAGGAATCCTCGTGACGTTTAGAGAATTCGATGTGGCGGTATGCAAATGTTAACCAACACTCTTGTACACGTAGGAAAGAAATCTCCACGAGGAGAGTGAAGAGGTGGGCGTTCAGTCTGCAAGAGCTTCTGCAGGATCCCGTCGGTAGAGAACAATTTATACGCTTCTTAGATAAGGAATTTAGCGGCGAGAATCTCAAGTACGTGTACACATGAATCTTTGTGAATCTTCTCGTTACGTCCGGCGCTATTTCATTTTGACTTGTGCTGGTATCTGTATTCGAGTATACGCGCAATACGAAGACTGAATTTGCATCAGGGAAACGAGATCGTTTATGATATGTGCAGATTTTGGGAAACCGTACAGGAATTAAAAACTTTACCGCAGAAAGACGTCCAGGCGAAAGTCGAAGAGATATGGCGTGAGTTCTTGGACACGGACGCCAGTTGTCCCATCAATGTCGATTCTCGGTCTTACGAAATCACGAAGAAGAATCTCGAAAAGCCGGACCAATGGTGCTTCGATGTTGCCGCGGTATTCATTGCACTCCAATTGAATCTGCAGCTACTTGATCGCTCGCACTTTCACCCATGTAACGTTTCCTGCCTCAGTGTTATTACATTATTCTTATTCTCTAGGCGCACGTGTATCATCTGATGAAGAGTGACAGTTACTCGAGATATATGCGCTCGGAAATGTACAAGGACTTCCTTAACGGATCCAAGAAAAAGGTGCGTTACCTTTTGCAATAGCCTTTTTTCCTTTGCATCGCGACATAATTTCAAATCCAATATCTTAATAATGTTACAACGCATTTACATTAGGTTCTCCATAAGATATTGCGTAAGACCACGCAATATCTTTATCATATGTATAAAGTTGAAGTAATATCATATTTATTTTATTGTACCACGCTGTCATGCTAATTGCTACTTTCACCATGTGATTAATAAGAACTATAATGTTCTGAAACTTTCTAGACTTCGGTAAAAGGAATTCGCTCCATCGTTTCCTTCACTGGACGGAGGGACACTACAGTCTCGTAACCTGCCAATTTCTGAAATCTGCGACATACTCGCTGTTCTCTAACTTGCTATTCTGTTTACCTCTTCGGCTTTGCCAGAAACAGCATAAAACTAACGAGAGAATTTCAAAGGGCGCTTTTTATTTAAATTAGTCTTACACATACTACTGATGTATTTATAATTAAATGTTTCATATCGGTACAACAGTTAAGATCATTTAAATTGTGCTATATACGCTTTCCGAATCGTTCACGAAGCGACTGGTCAAATCAATCAAACTTTTGTCACGGGGAAATCAGTTTTTCCAAAATACTGCGCCATGTAAGTTCATATGCATTACGTACACTTTGTTTTATTTTATCATTCGTTGAGTTCTCTTACTATAATACACCTTTGGACGATGTAATAAATGTAAATAATGCGTGTAAATAACGCGTTTTCTTAATTCATATCGGATGTATCGGACATCGCACACATATATATATATACACACACATGCGCACATCAGACAACAGCGCAGATTATACAACACACGAGTTAATTGTACAATAGCAGAACCTCTCTGTATCTTTCAATTACCACTGAAGTCTATAGCCGAGCTGAAATGATGCCGCGTACTCGTGTTGGTAGCCCGATCCGCGCATCTGACAAAATATCGTATGATGCACATAGAATCAACGTTGCATTGAGTCAAGTGCGGGGGGAAATGTTATACCGACAAATGAGCACTATGTGTTAAGAGCCGACGCGCTTGTAAGCACACTACATTTTTATATCGATTCAATAATGTGCACAATAGCTTTTCAAGTGCACTAGTACGCGGTCGATCGACCTCGCTATAAGAATGTATATTGATCTCAAATACGAATAAATCGCCAGGAACACGGTAGAGCCCCCCAAAAGAAATCAAAAATTGATGAGTTTGTGAGAACACAGCTCTATGAAACTGAAAACTTGTAGAATAGAATCCGAGCTTCTGTATAACCACAAAAGATCAATAAATCCAAAACTTGTATTAGATCAGGAACGCATAAATTTATAAGAAAGAGAGAGAGGGAAAGGGAAAAGGCATACTGTATTAAGTATTTGCAATTTGTACAACACTCTTCGAATCGTAAGATTCAGCGACGGTACATTATAATATTTTCCTTTCACATCTATCTGCTTGTGTGTCTTTTATCCATATAAATGCATATTTTAACATTGAAAAATAAAATTTCTCATGCGCGCGCGTTTACAATTTTTTCTATCAAGTTTTTTTATTCAGGTTCCCGTAAATTGTGTCATACTATGTAGTATATTGTCCTCGTTATACGACGATATAATCATTTTCCTTTCAATTTTATATATAATTGATTTTTTAAATAATATATTTTTTAATTATACAGAAATTACTACTGATCGCTCCGTTAGTATAAGCAGAATACTCAGGTATACATGCATATATTTAGTCTATTAAATATTAATTCGATGTGTGTGACGCTCAGTGGATAATAATTTGATGACAAATACTTGAAAGTCTCCTTTATTTTAAGCAACATATAGTTCGTCAACGGAACTCTGACAAAATTCAGAACTGTTCGTCCTGCTCCCAATAACTATAGTTTAGTTTCCAACGAGTCTCCGTTACACGTCTATTCGTTCGCCTACATCGGCGATCCCGTTTAAATCCAACAATCTAAAATAGGTCCTTGTAAAACTTGTAATACAATAAAGTCTTCCAAAAACACAAAGCACTCACTTGAGAAGTTAGTTCGTCGGGAACACTCGCCGGAGGGTACAACTGAATTTTTCATATCGCCTCTAGATCCTTCTTATTGTTCCTCTTGATAATTGGCACCGCCGCCCAGAGCGCGGTTCCTAGAATCAAGATGATACCGAAGGCTAAGAAGATCGGCTTGTAGGAGAGCACGTTCTCGAAGATGATGCCGCAGACAGGCGGCCCGACGAGTTGTAGGACGCCGTTGACGAACAACGATATGCCGTAGGACGAGCTGAGCTTCTCCGTCCCCAGCATGTCCGCCAAGATGACCGTGGTGATGCCGATGTACATGCCCGAGGAGAGGCCGAAGAGTCCGCAGAAGAACGACAGCATGGTGTAACTAGTCGCCATAGGCAGCAACGCCAGAGCGATGCCGCTGGTGCCGAGTCCGCCCACGAAATAGTAATACTTCGGTATGAAGTCAATGTCGGATAAAGACGCTCCGCCGATTCGGCCGACTAGATCCAACGCGGAGACTATGGACAGGAGCAGGGCGGATGAATTCTTGTCGAAACCCTCGGCGATCGCGTAAGAAGGCAGCAAGATCATGAAGTTCGTATTGCTAATGGCCGACGTGGAGTTCGAAATCAGGATCACCAAGTAAATAGGGTCCTGCAGCACGCTCAAGTCGAAGAAGCGCGTCTTCTCGCTCTTATCCGCCTCTTTCGACGACTTGGAACACACGTCGCTTCGCTTGGACTCCTCGACGTATCTTCCGTTACTCTCTTCTTTGTGGTTCTCCGCGCCTTTCAAAGAATCGAATTGCGTCTTGCTGCCTCGAAGAGTGTTGTTCCGACGCGACAAATTCAACGCGTCTGAGCCGTTTTCGCCATCCCCACTGTCTGCGCCGTGTCCATCGTCTTTTGAAGCGAGACTTAAACAGATCGTCGCGCGAATGTCGTCCGCGTCCGGAGTATCTTTCCGCGGGGTGTCCTCCTGTATTCGAGAAATTAGATCCTTCTTCTCTGTGTCGCACTGTACTTTCGGAGTCGTACATTTCTCATCATCCTCCTCGTAAGCAAGATTCTCCTCAGGCTTGCAAGACGCTTTCTCATTGATCGACTGCAACACCACATTGTGCTGAAGATCCGAGAGCTTATACATCCGTTTGTCGTCGTCGTTGTGCGCATCTGGAAAACTCGAGTCAAACTTGACACTGATTCCCGTTCGCTTGTCCGGCTCTTGCTTCCTGTCGACGGGTTCGTCGAGAGTCAGTGCTTCGTTGTCGATACCCTCGTCTAAGACTACGGTTTTCATGTGCTGCTCAACCGGGTGATACAAGAGACCGCAGACCAGAGTGTTCAGCGTGATCGCACCCATGATGAGTACCGCTCCTCTAGATATTTAAATTATTAATTATAATTCATTATAATCGCATCTCGTATTTGTTTCTCCTTGTATTCACTATTTTTAGTATTTAAACTTAAGCATGGCAATAATATTAGCCACTGAGTTACACCTTTTGCTACACCAGTACCAATATGGAATCTATAGCGGCTATATGTAGAATGCATTTCCTCGTTTCTGACGTCATCAGTCAAAAGTTCCGCGATCAGTAATCAGGAACCTTAATTATGGCAGCAATTATAATTGCCATTTGTTCAATGATATCAGTTATAATCAGTAATTTTTAGGATTTTAGCTTAGTTCAGAGGAAACTCTGTCTAGAAAGAACCTTTTGTCTCTTTATGAAACAAAAAAAAATCTCAGCGAGGCTTTATTTTTTTTTATGTTTCTCGCGTTCGCGGGTATTTGATCAGATAGACACAAGCGAGCAGATCTATGAAATTATCAAATCACCTATATCCAAAACAATCCAAAAGATATTGCAGTAACGGCGGTAGCACTATAGTGCCGATTGCGCTGCCAGATATGCATAAGCCGTTCGCTACACCCCGTAGCTTCTCAAAGTACGACGTAACGATGTAAACCGTCGGTGGAAATGATAATCCAGCGCCAATTCCGACCATGAGTCCGTAACTGTGTAGAAAAAAAGTCGCTATTATTGCCGCGAAACGTACAGAATCCTTGGAAATAAAGACTCGTATTTACTAACGCTTTACCGATGCATCGGTCGTAATGGCATACCTGACGTAAAGGTAGGTAACTGAATTGGCGAAATAGCTTAACATCATCCCGCTAGCTGCGAAGGTACCGCCAATGAGGGTCACTGTCCTGTAGGAGTACTTGGTCGACAGAATACTAGATAAAGGACCTGCGAAATATTTTCATCAAAATCGCATCTGTTTTTCACTCATATTCGCTACTTGTAATATTTGAATTCAGAGACATGACAATCATATCAGCCATGAAATAGTATTATTATTATTAAGGCTCCCAGCAGCACAATGCATTGGGTCTATTGAATCTATAGCAGCCAATGTAGAATGCATACGTTTCCTCGCTTCTGATATAATCAACCAAGAGTTCCGTGACGAGCAGTCAGGAGTCTTAATTATGCCAACAGTTATAATGCAAAATATTTTACACGATCTTATTTCCACGTACTCTTTTCTGACGTATATTGTATCGTTCAGACTTTATACGTATCTATAAAAAAAGTTCATACGGCGTGACTTAACTATTACTTTTTTATTATCCTTTGACTGTAACAATGCAAAAGTTCCTAGATCGTAGTAACGTTAGTTTTCAAAATATGAATTGTTTAAAATATATATATATTTTTTAAATATATTATTTTTATTATATTCCTATATATATATATATATATATATATATATATATATATATATATATATATATATATATATATATATATATATATATA